TACAGATAGGGCAGCTATCAGTGCGGTGCCCTTCCCCCAGACACTTCAGACAAGCGTCGCGAGGATCACCACAGGGCATCAGCTTCAAATACTTTACACACGGTTTGCAGCTGTGTGGCCCTGGCATTACCTCCCCAATAGGGAGATAAGTGGAGAGAGAAGAACTTCTCTAACAAACACGACCTTCATTATTTACAACTATAAACAATTACTATCTACAAGCTAGCTAACACTAAGGGAAGAACACAATGAGATGAGCGCTCCAGCTACTGTCACAGGCGATAAAAAGGAATTGAAGGGGTGGAGGACCAGCAGGGGAATATACGCACCAGTATACTTGGCTCCCTGGCTGGCCCAATGGGTACTGCTAAGGGAAAAAGCTCCGGAGTCCATGCACATGGCACGTGCATCTAACCTAACCCAACCAGAATGGACATGAGCAAGCACTCGAAGAAGAGGAAAGTTTGACATTTACCTGACTGCACGCTTCCAAGTCGCCTCTGTAGTGCCTCCAGTCGATTGATATAGTCTGTTAAAGCTCTATCAGGATCATAATTATGTAGCTGAGGACATGCAAGGGAAGCTGGGCTTAAATCAGCATGGGTGCCGTGGTACCTAGTGAAAGACAAATAATGAGATGTAGGTTTCAGAAATTGAAGTTACTGTTCTGGAATACAGTTTCCAAAGGAGAACGTAGCAGCAGTGTTACCAATATTAAGTATATAGATGCACTGAATTTTAGAAAAATCACAGTTATCTACTGAAGGCACTTTGCTGACCCTCATCCTGACTCCCCGTTTTCTTCAGCACACTCCATCTTTTCGACCACCTAACTCACTCTTTACCCCCTCCAAACACCACCCAATCTGACTTCCCCTCCTCCTCAAGATACATCTACACTACAAAAAAGACCCATGTGAGTTAGTTGCAGAGGCCAGTCTAGGGACTCAGAGCCTGGTGCTAAAAACAGCAGTATCAATGTTCCTGGTTGGGCTCTGAAATCTGGCCAAGGTGCGTGTGTTCTAGAAGCTGAGCGGGAATGCTGACATTGCTATATTTAGTGCTGTAGTGCAAGCCCTGTGAGTTGGAGTCTTTGGAGCTGGGCTCTGAGACTTGTGGCTGTGGGTGTTTTTTCTTTAGTGTAGATGTACCCTCAGATGCTTAACGTCCCTGCTTCTCCCAAGATTCCTGTGGCATTTTTCTGAGGCAAAAGGCACAAGTGAGACTCTTATTGAGCCTGCATTAAACACGCAGAAGTAGCAGTACTTTCAAGTACCTTTATATAAAAATTTCTTCTAAGAAAAAGCAGCATGTTGAAGTAGTTCTATATGGTTTTAGTTCTTTGTAGTTTCCAGTGTCTATACAGAAAACTAAAACTAGGTCAAATACTTTTCCATGTAACCAACTGCTGTAGTTTCCATAGGCTATGAGATTACAAATGACAGGAGTCTAGTTGTACTGTAGGGGGAGAGGATGTGTCCATTGCACTAGGTGAAAATACATCCCAGAGAACTGCTGAAGCCTGATTTTTAGAAGTGCTTAGGATCCACAACTCTATCTGATGTCAAGAAAGGCCTCCAGTTACTTTGAAATATCTTCCCTCTGGGGAGAAATACTGGCTCCAATGACTTCAACAGTGCTAAGATTTCACTGCAGTGTCTCAGTGGTAATACTCTGACTGGCCAGATGAACGCTTGCATGAAAAGTTAGAAGCATTTACATAATTTTGAAGCAAAGCCTTTGGCTTATGTATGGACACTTGATGGCTTCTGAAAAACATCGTAAGGATGGAAACTGCAAGGTTAGGCCTTGAACAGAAAATACATAGTATAAAATGCATCAAAACATGGAATTTCCACACTCCTAACATGCATTCATGTTAACTACAGAAATAAACTTTTCAAATGAATAATTATTTAACAAACTTACCTATGTTGAGAATTTACAGGAGATCTGAGAGACTCTAGATCTGATCTGGATCTATCAGAAGAATGTCTGTGTTCTCCATAGAGCTCCAGACCACCAGCTAATGAATCGGGCCTTAGCTCATTACCTAAAATAACTACAAGTGTTAGTTATAAAAATATAAACTTATAAAAATCAGACATTTTGTATACGGACAGATCTCTCAGGTGCACTCTTTGTTTTATATCTGGTGAAGTGAGATTTAAAAAAAAAAAAAAAAAAACAGCTAAAGTGCAGCTAGCATTGCCTACCATGCTGACCAATATTGTCTCACTGGTTACTTGTATTTCTTCCTATGTCTACATCAATCTGTTGTCCCTTGTGTTGCAATCAGAGTGTAAGCTCTTTTGGGGAAGGGACTGTCTTTTAGTTCTAGCGACGAGGAGTCCTGTGGCACCTTATAGACTAACTGAAGTTTAGGAGCATAAGCTTTCATGGGCAAAGACCCACTTTGTCAGATGCATAGCCATGCATCTGACGAAGTGGGTCTTTGTCCACAAAAGCTTATGGTCCTACACTTCAGTTAGTCTATAAGGTGCCACAGGACTTCTCATCGCTTTTGCAGATTCAGACTAACACGGCTACCCCTCTGATCTTTTAGTTCTGTGTTTGTACAGAACCTTTGTCCCTCACTGGGGCGCCTAGGCACTGCAGCAAACCAGATAATAAAACCAATTGCCACTGTTCAATCATCTGTTTTGACACCTAATCTGAAACTAGGCCACAGAATAGTTCAGAAATAAATACATGTGTACCCACAAACGACTCATCTTAAACTTCTCAAAGGAAGACTCAAACAGCTGTAACAGCTCTTCCATTTAGCACAAATAATTTTTGTAAAATGAAAATGTTATGTTCTACCAAAAGCCTTCCCAGTACATGGATATAGGTTACTTCCCCTCCATTGCATTCAGGTATAGTAGTTGCAACTTTCCACTTCTCAGGATCTTGGTGTTACTAAGATCCATTCAAAACTTCCTTTGAGGCACTCTCAAAAATAGTTACTTTATCTGTACAAATTAACCATGAATATTGGGTGGAGATACACAACCAGGACTGGGAGCTTTTTTGCAGAAAAACAGTTTTTAGTCAGCAAAGTTAGATTTTCTTCTCTTCTCCATGGACTGGAGCTACTGTATTCTGCCTAGAAGTAACCTTCACGTAAACCTGCCACTTGCCTGAGTTGCATTGATTAATTTAGAACTATAAATCTTTGAGTGATGGCTCATACTGATTCCAGTTAGGTGCGCGTGCCTGCAGCATGCACAGTCATCAGAAATTTTTTCCCTTAGCATCACCTGTTGCTGTGGAATCTCCTGGAGAGACACCTCCATGGCACTCAATATATGCCTCGCGAACTTGGTATCTCCTCAGTTTCTTCTTACTGCCAACAATGGGCATTGGACCTGTGGTTCTTGCTTTGCAAGTTCTCTTCATTTTCTTAGCTTTCAGCTGAATTGTAGTCTTACCATTAGTTTTAGAGAGGAGTTTAGTAGTTGCTAGAGTTAGCTGTTGAGAGTGGAGGGTCTCCTCTCCATTCTGATGACTTATTTCACCCTTCTCAGAGATGGGGGAAGGCTCTCTGATATCAGAGAACACTGCAGCAGACACAGAAAAATCTCACCTTTCACAGGCTGCCTTTTGCCTAAGAGGAAGCTGCAATGTTTTAAAAAAACGACACTGATTTGCATCTGACAAGAAGAAAGATACAAGAGTGTTCAGCCGAACGTCTGTGCTCAGTGGAATGCAGTGGACTGCTGAAGGGGTGACCAGAAACGTGAGAGAAACAGGGCTAGCTAATGAAATGACGGGGAAGGAGCAACCTACTGCTTCCAGAATAGGGAGGTTGACCTAAAATGTTTACTCAGCATTTGTGTAATTCATAGATGGTGCTTCTTCAAACATTGCCAGTCAGTGATTTACCTGTGTTCTGACTAAAGCCATCTCTGTTGACACTTATTAAATTAGAACTGGTAACTCGGTGCCACCGACGAACCAGGAACTTCATTCTGTATTTAGAATAAAGACAAGACAAATATTTACTTTTTTTAATATCAAGCTTATAATTTTCTAGGGGGTACAATAGTCCACACAGCAGCCAACTAAGTATGAAAATAGACTTTTAAAGCCTAAAGAACCTGTATTTAACAAATACAATTTACCTAAGAAAAGGTATGGGCCATATTCTACCTGCAGTTGTACCCATACAATTCTAATGATGTCAGTGAAATGTTGCATTTGTTCTAGATGTCTACATTATTTAGCATTAACATCTTAAAATATAAGTCTCAGCAAATAACTGCAAAAAGTTCAGTCCCAGTGCAGAAAAAAGGTCCATGATAGCAGTGGTATATTCTAAAGGAAGAGCTGCAGTGACTAGTGATCTTGCAAACACTTTCACTCATACTTAATGTGAGGCATGTGAATAATACAAGTTTGGGGGACTATTCATGTGCCTAAAGCATGCATGTATTTTCAGGATTGAGGCCTCACAAAGAATTTAAAAAGCAGATGTAGCCGCAATATTTACTGCTTATCCACACAACATCCTCTGTTCATTATATCCAAAAAGCTTAATTTTAGCAATTTGATTTCTTAGACACAATTCCATTGTATGGATTACAATGCCTGTGTTTTAAGAGATTTTTACTTTTAAAGAACAGTAGATCACAGAAAAGAAACAATGATACATTTATAAAATACATACTCTGGAGACGTCACCAGGGATTCATTAGTAATCTTTAAAGCTTATCATCATAGCTCATAAATTCTGATGTGACTGGATTCCAACACAGAGCCAAGTCTGCTTTGATTTACAGTGGTGCTGCAGAATGTCTTAAATAGCTTGCATTACCAGGGCTCTACCTTACCAGTGCTCAGTGTAATTCTGCCTTCTGTTTAAGGTGCATATATTCATGGCTACAACAATTTATAATTTAGAGTGCATCACAAATAATGCTGGATTACACTAGATATTTAATTTGATAAAATAGAAGACCCTCTGTGAATTGTAGGATGAATGTCAAATAGTTGTGGCTGAATCATGGAAAAGGAATAATGGACCTTTATTAATTGTGGTAACTTGGAAAAGGGAGTACTTTAGGCAGGGGAAGGCTGTGCCTCTCCAAACAGCCCTTATGGCCCCACTGCACTCTACCCACAGGAAAGGACCCAGCCAGTGGTCTGCCTTGGCTGGGCCAGGCAGGCTGAGGCTGGCTCTGCTGTCCCTTTAGGGATCTGGGGAAGCTGGCACTGGGCTGCGCTGTCTGTCTGGTGCTCAGAACTAGCTGCCCAGAGCCCTTGGGCTGTGGGCAAGGTTCCCTCTAAGCCAGTGGTCTCCAACCTTTTTACACCTAAGATCACTTTTTAAATGACAGAAGAAGCCATGATTTACCACCCTGCCCCTTCCTTGAAGCCCCACCCTCTCTATTCTCCTCCTCTCCATCACTTGCTATCCCCAACCCTTATACTGCTGCTTTTTTTCCAATTCTTCTATAGGAAGAAGTTTTTCCAACATTTGGCCTGCCTAGATTGGACCAAATGTCAGAAAAACCCCTTCTTTTGGAACCCCCGTTATTCCTCATGGAAAGTGGAATATAGGAGTGACCGAAATATCATGTTTGCTCTTCCACTAAAAGAAGTGGAAGAACAAACGCATCCCTGGATGCAGAAGAGTTTTTCTGGGATATGTCCGGAATCCTGAAAAGCTCCTGTAGTCTAGCCATACCCTCGCTGGGTTGAGACAGGATGTGTAGGCTCCAGGGTGGGAATGAGGGATTTGGGTGTGGGAAGGTGTGAGAGGTGCAAGCTCTGGGAGGAAATCTGGATGCAGGAGGAGGTGGAGAAGGGAACGCTAGCTCGGGGAAGGGGCTCCAGGCTTGGCAATGTTGGGGTCAGATGTAGGGTTGGGGTACTAAGCAAGCCACAGGCTTGTGGATATGGACAGGATGTGTAGGCTCCAGGGTGGGAATGAGGGATTTGGGTGTGGGAAGGTGTGAGAGGTGCAAGCTCTGGGAGGAAATCTGGATGCAGGAGGAGGTGGAGAAGGGAACGCTAGCTCGGGGAAGGGGCTCCAGGCTTGGCAATGTTGGGGTCAGATGTAGGGTTGGGGTACTAAGCAAGCCACAGGCTTGTGGATATGAGAGTTCAGGCATTTGGGTTGGGGTATGTGAGGGGCCAAGGGCAGGGAGGAAAGCCACAGGCTTGTGGATATGAGAGTTCAGGCATTTGGGTTGGGGTATGTGAGGGGCCAAGGGCAGGGGGTTCCAGTGTATGATAGGATCACATGTAGGGTCTGGGGAAAAGAGGAGTGCAGGAGTGTTCTGATGCTGTGGCCAGATGGGGGCTTGTTGGCCAGGCTTCATTTTTAAATAAAATACTGTGTCAAACACACAAAGTTTCTGCATTGTCTTTATTTCTGAGAAGGGCCAGAGTTCTACAGCTGAGGACAGAATGCCACTGGGAACAGGTTTCTGAGGCTAGGGAGAGGGAACAGGAGAGTGGGGAGAGGAGGCTGGGGAGAGGGAACAGGGAGACAGTGGGCGCAGAGAGTCTCCTGTACCTGCCTCCTCGCAGGATTCTCTGCCCTCCTCCCCCGAGGGCAGCCAGTGGCGCAGCCTAACTCCCGTGCATGCCTGCCCCGGGGCCAAACCCCCCTCACGCGGCACAGCCAAACCCCCGTGTATGCCTGCCCTGGGGACAAACCCCTCTCCTGTGGTGC